GTCACTCACTGTCTGGTGGTCCCAGAGATCCTCTCTGTGCTTTGTGGAAGTTGGAATAGAGTGTACATACTGTACTTTAGACTGAGCTAGGTGGCTTAGGATGATGGGGTCCAGGGCCTTATTGCCCCAGAGCTTAAGGGCCAGAGAAGAGATCCATGGTTCCCTTGGAGAAATTCAAAGCAGACAGTTTTACAGATATATCCAGGGAGAAGATGTTCCTTAGGATTCTCTTGGGAGCTAGGGAAGACAGTGCTGTCCTGGCTCTTGTTTCTTAGGAACCATTATAAAAACAACTTTGAAGCAAAATTGGGACCACTGTGGAAAGCGTCGAAGATAATTCAGACTGTGTGTGTGTGTGTGTGTGTGTGTGTGTGACAGAGACAACACAAAGCAGTTCCCTTTCAGTTTTGATTGCTTCTCACCTGTTTTTGCTATTTCCCCATCCAAGATCAAAACTAAAATGTATTTTTTCATTCTCTCCCCCTCCCTCAGTTTGGCATTAAAAAATGTTCCATTCCCACTCATCTCCCCAGACTGAGCACTGACTCTGACATCACCACAGTCTCAGATAAAGTCTTAGAGTTGCCTCACTGCCCCAAGGCTGGGGCTGCATCAGCCATATGCTTGTGACCCTTAGACATCATCTTATACCCACCAGTTATCCCTATTTTAAGATTAGCTAAAATTCTTGCCACATTGAGTTAGAGGCAGTTGGGAAGTGTGTGTGAATTGGCCATGTTTCTGAAGAGAGATATTGTGTTCACCTATTGTGAAGCTTTTCATTCAACCTCTTTTTTGAGACATCTTTTAATACTGCATCCTCCCAGCTTCAGATAGCCCTTAGATGGCAGAATATGCAAGCAATAATTCCTCTTCTCCATCCTGCTTTGTCTATAGCAGCATCCCATTAATGGTGAAGGTAATCCAAAATTGCCAGGAATTCAACTTTAAAGAATTGGAAGCTGTTCCTTCCTCCATCAGAGCTGTTTAATCTAACCTCTCTGCCTCCACCCCAATTTGCCATGAATAAAGAAGGCTTATTATGAAACAGGGATAACTGAGGGTATCCTGAGTATTGTGATGGTATCCAGGAAATGTTCAAAGACCTAGAAGAAAGAATCCAGTACAGCAGAGATCTTCTACAGAGTTTTCAACAGAAGGACAGGGATGAAGAATTGTACAAGAATGGAAGGCATGGTTGGTCTGGAAGCTGCCCCAGGGGAGAGAGCACTGCACCCAAATGGCTCTGCAGGAAAAAATGAAGCTGGTGACCTTGCACAGCCCTCCCTCACTTAAATCAGATTCACTTGCAAGTTACGGTATCACCTTACTGATGTCATGGTCCTCTTCCAGAACAAAGGACAAACAACCCTTCCTCCTGACCTTTCTTCAACTTTAAGAATTATTTATTAAGTGCCTACTGTATTCAGAGCACTGTGCTGGGTGCTAGGGTGACTAGACATAAATATGGGTAATGGAAATGCTGCAGTAGTGAGGGATGAGGCAGCTAAATGGCCCAATGGCAAGAGGTTTTTTTGTTTGTTTGTTTTTAGGCAATTGGGGTTAAGTGACTTGCCCAGGGTCACACAGCTAGTAAGTGTCAAGTGGCTGCTCTGAGGCCGGATTTGAACTCAGGTCCTCTGAACTTCAGGGCTGGTACTCCATCCACTGTGCCACCTAGCTGCCTCTGGCAAAAGTTTTTGACTTAGAGTCAAAAAGACCTGAGTTAAAATCTTATCTCACACTTTCTATGAGACCCTAGGCAAGTCACTCAACCTCTATCTGTCTTAATTTCCTTATCTATAGAATGGGGATAATAATAACACCTACCTCCCAGGACTTCTAGGAGGATCAAATGAGATAAAGCTCTTTGAAAAACTTTAAAGCACCATATAAATGCTAGTTATCCTTCTGATACATCCCAGGTACAAGAAATAATATTTCTTCTCTCTTCCTGTATCTTTGTAGCTCCTCTGGGATTTGGTGCTCCCCAGGATCCCCACCTCTTACTGGTGCTAATAATGTTCCAAAGGCTGGAAACTACTGGTAGTTCAGGGTCCTAGGGGTGGCATTGGATGGACAGTATATCTAACTCTGTCATTTCTATGCTTTCCTCTCTCCAGGTTCAGTCACTGGTGGCTGGATATTCAGACTGACCCTTATCCTTCTACTGCAGGCCACATATCTGACAATTCTGAGGCTGGAAGGGAAGCATTGTGGGAAGGGGCAGATCCCTGCAGGAGACCCTAGTGTAGGAACCCATCTGTGATGTCTGAGTCAATAGGGACTTCCCACATGTCCACTGGATAGCAGTGAGGCATTTGGGGCGAACAATAGCCGGGGCCCATGCAGCAGAGAGGAAGGGAAGTCTCTGCAAAAACATCCGGGTATTTTTTCCTCTTTCTTCCTCACTCTCCATATGCTGGGGGTGGGGAAATTACCTCCTACAGCTAAGGATTGTGGAATTTAAATGTGACCCTCTAGGCTACAACTTCAGGCCATAAGGCAAGTTGATGAGTGGCAGAATTATGGAGTTAATGGCTTGCCTTCCTACCTGGTAACTCAGTTTGGGTCCTGGCCTCTTAGCGACTGGGCTGCTGGAACTGGACCTTTCATCCTTAACTGGCTGACAGTTTATATCACATTCCTCCCAGATATAGAGAGGTACAACTTCTCTCAGATAAACTCTGATAACATTAAACAAGAGACAACATTGTGAGTACTGGAAAGGCAGGAAGTCCTCAGTTCAAATCCCCTATCTGTCACTAACTGCATGATCCTGGGTAAGTCACTACACCTCTGGGTACCTGAGGCAACACCTGAAGACTTACCTACAAAGACACAGATGTGTTGATGGGGGAGGGGAGGCTTTGGAATTCCCCTTGCTGATGAAATTACAGTTCTTTTGCATTAAGCAAAATCCAGGACAAAATTATACTTGGCCCTATTTGGGATTGAGCTGGGAGACCCTCCAAGATCTGAGGGAAGACAAAGATTTCCTGTGTGAAGGACTGAGACCTCTGTGGCCAGAAACCTGTTTAAGCTGCCTCAGGAGAGGCAGACAGTGTTGGCTGGACTGGGCAAGTGATTGCAGAGTCTGGCTTCAAGCCAACTGAAAACCCCCAGAGATCTCACTTGAGGATGCAAAACCAGTCGGGTAGAAACATGTCCAGGGTATGGCCTGCGTAGCAATAGTCATAACCCATATGTTGTGTCTATGAGTGCCTATATCTGTTTGTGTGTGTGCTGCGGCTGCTGTTTGCTAGTATGGGGTGACGGGGTGTTGACTGTGCATATACACGATTTGAGGGATTGCTTTTAAAATGAGGACATGATTGTTCTTTTTTCTGAGAGCAGGTAAGATTCTGAGGCCCTGGGAGGGATGAAGGTTCTTAATGAAAGAGGAATACAGATCATTGAGGCATGTGGAAAAGCTAACAGAGATGGGGAAAGGTGGGGAGAGAGAGCATGGAGCAGCTGCGCTCTCAGGACCTTGTAAGTTACTTTGTCAGGTCCCATGTTGAAATTATTCATGGTCACAGGGCTATACAGGGTTGTGTGACATTGTAAAAGTGTCTCCCTTAATCTCCATGATCTGAGCAAGAATTAGGGGCATCTTCAGATAGCTGGGGCACCCTCCTCCAGCCTTGTCACAAATTGAGAATTCCCTTCCCCTCCTGTCCCCTGTCATACATGGAGCAAACTTCTAGGTGCTTCAAGGAGAGTGTGACTCATTTTCAGATGTACATAGATGCTGAATGAATGAATGCATGAATGTAGATTTAATGATTAATTGTAGCCATTAATTGTTATTAATATAATTAATCAAGAATTCACCTAGCATCTACATTGTGCTAGGCAATATTTATATACTGAAGGTGTTGTTGTTGTTGAATTAATCCCAGAACTACTTGCCTAAGGCTGGTACCCTCTTTGTATCATCAGTTGATGAAGGCTCAGGGTAATACCACCTTGCACAAAAGCATAGGTAGAAAGGCAAGTGTGACTTTGATATGGCACTTATAATGTATTCCATAGTCAGACAGAAATGCCTTTTAAATTACTTACTGTTGTGTTTTCCCTTCTGTTTGGAAAGTATCTGATTTTTTTAAAAAAGTAAACACTCTTTTGGATTAACTGCTGTTACGTAGTTTTACTTGTTTTTTGATTATCCACACTGGTCCTCCTCTTCATTAAGGTAGTCACTGCAATCTTTATATTTCTGAGGATACATGGACCACCAAGTCTCAGTTTTCAGTGGTTCATCTGTAAAGTGGCCTGACTTTCTGCAAAGAATGTGGGAAGAGAAAGTACATCACTTCTTTTTTTTTAGTGGGGGGTATTTATTTAGTATTTTATTTTTCCCCAGTTGCATGTAAAAACAATTTTTAGCATTTGTTTTTAAAACTTTGAGTTCCAAATTCTCTCCTTTCCTCCCTCCCTACACCTCATCATTGAGAAGGCAAACAATTCAATATAAATTATACAGGTATAGTCATGCAAAACATATCCATAATAGTCATGTTGTAAAAAAAAAATAGACCAAAAAAAAATCCTCAGGAAAAATAAAGTTTCTTTAAAAAAGGTTGCTTCAATCTGCATTCAGACACCATCAGTTCTTTCTCTGGGGATGGATAGCATTTTTCATCATAAGTCCTTCAGAGTTGTCTTGGATTGTTGCATAGCTGAGAATATTAAGTCATTCACAGCAGATCATCTTACAATATTGCTTTTACTTTGTATACAGTATATGCCACTTTGCATCAGCCCATGCAAGTCTTTCCAGGTTTTTCTGAGAGCATCCCGCTCATTATTTCTTATAGGACAATAGTATTCTAATACATTCATATGCCACAACTTGTTCAGCCATTCCCCAATTGATGAGCATCCTCTCAATTTCTAATTCTTTACCTCCAGAAAAGAGCTGCTGTAAATATTTTTAGAACATCACTTCTAAGGGCTCTCCTAGCTCTTCCTCTGCCCTCCTTCATCTGTTTTAGGCTTCGACTTCATGATGGGAAGCTCATCAAGGATCGACGTTATCATCTTCGGACATATCCCAACTGTTTTGTGGCCAAGGAGCTCACAGATTGGCTGATAGATCACAAGGAGGCACCCGACAGAGAAACAGGCATTCGGCTGATGCAGAAACTGATGGACCACTACATCATTCATCACGGTACGTGGTCTCTCTTCCAACTCTCCTCACTTCCCCACTCTTCCATCCCATCTGTAGAGTCCAACAGCTTCACTTCTGAAGGGACAGAGAGGGCCAACCATACTTATGGCCAGAGTAAGTGGGGATCTATGTGGATTGGATAGGGGATGGGTAGAACATTGTGAAGAGCCTCTCCTCCCCTTAGAAAGTTCTCCCCTAGCTTCTTGTATTTGCCTGACCTCACCTTTAATATCCGTATCCTTATTTAATAATCTCCAGTGTCTCATATTTTCACTTGTATCTGGCCTACATCCCTCCTACTGCAGTTGAGTCCCTTTGGATTTAAGATGTGGAGAGGGCTTCTGCTGTGATTGGTTATTCATTTTTCTTTTCTTTTCTTTCTTTCCTTTTTTTTTCTCACAAAAACCATGGCATTTTAAAAATTCCTTCCTCCCTTTCTAGACCTTTTTTTTTTCAATTTGCTTTTGCCTTCATGTTCAAAAATTTCCTCCACCCCCGTGTAGGAAAACACAATGGTTCAGTGTCAGCCTGTGTGTGGCTTTAGTCCTTGGAGCATGACCCACAGACAAGTAGCCAGTATTTCCCTGCATCATCACTGGATTCCAGGGCTTGAAGTTGTGAGAGAGAAAGAGTGTTTTGGTAACGATGCTTTCTCCTGCTGGTGTCTGCTAGTGCTCTGCTCTACTCCTCACCTGAGCTTTCTAAAAAATTGACCCCTCCTGACTCAGCTCCATGCCCAGGATCTGCACAGGGAAGCTGCCCTTTTAACAAGTCATCTTGGAATCCATATGATAATTTCACTCATGTTGAAGTGTTACTGGCTGATGAAGGGTTTAATAAGAGGAGCCTGGAGAAGGCAAAGCTTAACCCAAAAGAATGAAGCTGGGAAAGATCATGGGGTCACAGCTTTAGAGCTTAGTGAGACTTGAGGCCATCTAAGCCAACCTTTCCCCCATCTTTATAGATAAGGAAACTGGGGCCATTTGAAATTAAGTGACTTAGCCAAGATCACACAGTAAGCATCAGAGGCAATATTTGAACCATTGATTATGTGAACGAAGGTATAAACAGCATATTTACCAAATATATAGGTGACGTAAAGCTTGAGAGGAAGGTACCTTGGTACTTCTACCTTGGTAGACTGGAATTATGAGCGAAGTCAAATTTAATAATTTAATAGGGATACACACACACACAATTATACACTTGGATTCAAAAAATATATCTCACAAATATAGGATCAGAAAGGTATGAGCTAGACAATAGGTTCTGTGAAAAAGATCTGAGCTTTTCATCATACAGTAAGCTCAATATGAATCCTGTGACTTCAGAGAAAGTTCCTGTACCATACTGTACTGCCACACATGGTTAATTCAGGCACCAGGCTTCTAGAGGAATTTTTGGGAGTAGGGGGACTTCTAGATACCCTTCTAATGATATCATAGAGGTCAGGCAGTCCTAATAGTTTGCACTTTGGGTCAGGGGATTACATTGTCTCTTTTTTTTTTCTGCTAAGTCACACCTGGGGTATGGGAGGGAAACACTAGGCCCTTGTCTGGTTTGTAAATTCATCTGGAGAATTCCACACACCAGGGCAGGAAGAGGGAGGGAAGAAGGAAGGGGAGAGAGAGAGAGAGAGAGAGAGAGAGAGAGAGAGAGAGAGAGAAGAGAGAGAGAGAGAACACATGAGAGTATGAGGCATATACAAGGTTGTATGGGTGTGAGTATGGAGAGTATGTGTGTGTGTGTTTTTGGCCCACACAGCTTCACAAGCTTGTCTTCCTGGAGGTCTCCTGGGTGGTTCTCCTAAGCTGAGTTGTATGGCCAGGCCATAATTATGGATGAATTATGAACAGAATCATTTGGATGGAACAAGAACCAGCTTTGACCCTTGTTCAGGCCTTGGACTGTGGTCCAGGATGCCAAAGCCACAGAGGAATGAGGCTTGGCTTCTCATTCCTGCATCTTGGACTGTCTCATTTCCCTCACTCTCTGCATGCAAATGACACAGGACTTGGGAAACCGGTTGTCTTAATTTACTCTTTGCCCCTTATTCCTGGAAATGAAAATTATGCCTTCTTTAAAAAAATATATACTGAAGCTCTTTAAAAAAAATTATTGTCATATCCCCATTACTCCTTAGCTCCTCCTACGTATCCTCCTATGTAACAAAGTTCAGTTGATCAAAACAAATAAACACATTAGCCATATCTGACAGTGTATGTCTCATTCAGCACCTATAATCCACCACCTTTCTTCTAAGAGACTAGAGGCTTGTTTTGCTCCTTTGAAGTTAAGATTTGGCACGGAATTGACCATATTTCTGAAGTCTTTCATTGTGGCTTTATTTATGTTAATGTGATCATCAGGCCAATTGCTCTGGTTCTAGAGCTATTCTAAATGACTCCATTTATTCAGGGAGGAGCTGTGGTAGAGAGGGTGCGACTTGACTACTCTTTGGAAGTAGTTATTTTGATTTCTCCCTTCATTTCCTTCTGGCCTACTATTCCTTGCTCACTTACTCCCTCTGCCCCCTTCCTCCTGGGTCCTAGGTCTGACCAGCTCTTTCTGGGAAACACAGAAATCTTATGTAGATATCTAGATGGATGGATGAATGAATGGATGGATATCTAGACAGATTAAACCCCCTTTCAGGCAACAAGTATTTATTGAGATTCTACTGTGTATCCAGGCCACTGTGATCCCTAATGGAAACAAAGAAAGGAAAACAAACAGTAACAACAACAAAACTGTTCCTGTCCTCAAGGAGCTCACTTTCTAATGGGGTTGGAGATGGTGGGGGGAAGACAACTTAGAAACAACTAAATATAAATAAAATATACAGTGTGAACTGGAGGTAATCGTAGAAGGAAGGCATTAGCAGCGGGAGAAATGATCAGGAAAGGCCTCTGGCAGAAGGTGGGACTTGAGCTGGGTCTTAAAGGAAGCCAGGGAAACCATTTTTGAAAATACACACAGTCTGGAAATAGCATGTTCGAAAGTAGGTGTTGCTGGATCACAAAGTATATGTTGGAAGTAAAGTGTAAGAAAACTGTAAAGATAGGAAGGGACAAAGTTATAAAGGGCTTTAAAAGCCAAAGAGATGATTTTATATTTGACCCTGTAGGTAACCAGAGGGATCCATGGGAGTTTTATTGAGCAGAGGCTGGCACAGTCATTCTAGAGCTTTAGGAAGATTACTTTGTACCTGAATAGAGAACGGATTGGAATGGGGAGAAATGTGAGGAAGGGAGATTACTTAGAAGGTGTGAGATGAGGGCTCAAGGGGGCAGCACCCTTGAGATGTGAAGGTAGAAATGACAAGATTTGGCATCAGAATGGACTGAGCATAAGAGAGAAAGGGAGAATGACACTAGGGATGTGGGCTGGGGTGACTGGGAGGACAGTAGCTTCCTCAACAGTAATGGGAAAAGACAGAAAAGGAAAAGTTTGGGGAAAAGATAATGTGTTCTGTTTTGAACATGGTGATTTTGAGATGTCCAAAAGGCAACTGTGATATGAGACTGAAGTTTTGCAAAGAGGTGAGAGCTGGATAGATATATAGATCTGTGGAGAGGTTCACTGACCACCATAGCATAAAGGGAGAAGAAAAGAGGGCCAAGAGTAGAACCTGGGGTTAGGGGGATCCCCATGGTTAGGGAGCATGGGCAGGATGAAGATCCAGCAAAGGAGACCAAGGAAGAGGAATGATGAGATAGGCAGGAGAAAAACCCAGGGAAAGGAGTGGGCACAAAGCTAGAGAGGAGAGAATATCCAGAAGGGACTGATAACAGTGCCAAACGCATCAGAGAGGTCATGAACGATGAAGATTGAAGGAAAGCCATTATATTTATCAATTAAGAGATTATTAATGACCTAGGAAAGAGCAGTTTGAGTTGAATAATGAGCCAGACTGAAGAGAGTTAAGAATGTGAGAGGACAGGAAATAGAAACACCAAGGATAAGCTGCTTTCTCAAGGAGTTTGGGGGAGAAGGCAGAGCCATCTCCAGTTGTCCTGATCCACATCTTTCCGCTGGGTCCACATGACTCCAGAGGAGAAAATGAGGCTGGTGACTTTGCACATCCCTCCCTCATTTAAATCCAATTCACTTGCCTGATATGGCATCTTTACCTCCCTGATCTCATGGTCCTTTTTGAGAATGAAGGACGAACAACCTCTGTGAATAGTAGTAGGAATAGTAGTGAATAGCTGCCCCACTGGGGACCCAATTGGAACTGGCCAGTTAAGCAACACAGCTTCCTTCTTTTCTTTCCTTTTCTTTTCTTTCTTTCTTTTCTTTCTTTTCTTTTCTTTTCTTTTCTTTTCTTTCTTTTTCTTTCTTTTCTTTCTTTTCTTTCTTTTCTTTCTTCTTTCCTTTCCTTTCCTTTCCTTTCCTTTCCTTTCCTTTCCTTTCTTTCTTTCCCTTTCCTTTCCTTTCCTTTCCTTTCCTTTCCTTTCCTTTCCTTTCCTTTCCTTTCCTTTTCTTTTCTTTTCTTTTCTTTTCTTTTCTTTTCTTTTCTTTTCTTTTCTTTTCTTTCTCTTTCTTCCCTCTGTCCACATAGAGTATCACATCCGTACCTGTGGGTGTTCTGCCCAAAGGAATGTAAATATTTATTACTGAAACTTTGCAAGATATCTTGGTATTCACTGGCTAGATTTCTTAAGGAACATGTGCCTTAAACCCAAATCACTCTGGCTCTTATTTATTGGCCAACAATAGGTCCCAGGCCAAGCCCTACTTGGTCATTGTTTGGGTCCTGATTGTCTCTGAGTGAATGTAAATCGCAATTGTTTCAGTTTTGGCCAGAAACTGTGAGGGTCTTTCCCTCCCAGATTGGTTTTTTTTTTTTGACTAGGTAAAAGAGAACATTCTTTGCCTCATTTCTTACCTAACTTTACTTAATCAATGATGGAGCGTTGCCTAAGTCAAACTGAGACCTGTTAAAGGCCTTAGCTTAAAAAGACCAAGGTCTCCTACTACATCAGGGCCATCTCCAGTCACCCTGATCTGTATCTTGCCACTGGACCCAGATGGCTCCAGAGGAATAAGAGGAATAAGTAAGGCTGGTGACTTCGCACAGTCCTCCCTCACTTAAATCCAATTCATTTGCATGTCCTGGCATCACCTCCCTGATGTCACAGGTCCTCTTTAAGAACAAAGGAGCAACAGCAAGGGGAGAAGGGGTTTGGGGAAGGAGAAATATAAAACAATAGCTGGGGAGATGGTCAGATGAGTGAATGTTTTTAAAGGATGGGTGCATTTGTAGGCAGCAGGGGAGGAACCAAAAGATAGTGGAGATTAGTGAGAGTGGGAATGATAGCGGGGGCTATCTGCTGGAAATGATGGGAAGAGATGGGATCAAAGTTTCGTGTAGAGGGATTGCCCTGGCAAGGAAAAGGACCACCTCTTCATAGGAGAAAGGGATGAAGGAGGAGAGAATGGAAGAAGACATCAGCTCAGAGTTTTAGTCGTATTTCTACCATTCACTCTCTTTCTGACTTTTAGTTTTTAATTGCTTTCTTTGAACATTCTTCTCCTGCCATTTGGCTCCTGGGGGTACGGGTTGTCCAAATAAGATCAGCACTTTCCCTGAAAGAAGTATATCCTGTTCTGTGCTAAGGCCAGATTGTGGCCATGGAAGACCAAGGATAGAACGCAGGTGAGCAGCTGATCAGGGTCATTTTTCCATCTGCTCTCATAAACATCTGTTTACTTGCCTGTCTGTCAGTGAATCCAGTGGTCTTTTGATCTGTTTGGCAAGATACTATGCAGATTCTGTTCTGAGTGGGAGGGTGCTACTTGGTTCCTATGGGTGTGGGATGCCCTGAGTGATGCCCATGCCCAACTTCCACAGTGTGTGATGAGCACTCAGACTACAAAGATGCCAAACTGCTGTACCGCTTCCGCAAGGACGATGGGACCTTCCCTTTAAATAAGGATGTCAAGGTGTTTCTTCGAGGCCAGAGTCTGTATGAAGCGTATGTAGCAGTGTGGGAGAGGGGGTGGGGAACAAGGGGAATGTTTGGGGGAGGGGGAAGACTGGGATTGGGATTAATTTCAGCCCTGACATTTTCTCATAGTAGCCCTGGGACCATCAATGACACAAAAGACTCCATTAGCTTTTGTCCTCCTCCTTTCTATACTAACCCCCCTTCCACAGACATTTGTCTATATGTGAGCATGTTCTTGTCTGTGTACTTTCATCATGTCTGTTTAGTATGTATGCATCTGAGCATGTCTCTGTTTAGTGTACATGTGAACATGCATGTATTCATGTGAAAGCTTATGTGCAATGTCCGTGTGAATGCATCACTGCCCTGCGTATATGTCTGCCTTTAGAGTCCATGGGAATATATGTGTATATATATATATATATATATATATATATATATATATATATATATATATATATATATAATATATATATATATATATATATATATATACACACATATATATATACACACACACACATACACACATCATATATACATATATATGTGTGTGTACATGTGGCTGTCTCTTTTGACTATGTTCACATGAATATATTTATACACAATGTGCAGGGGAGTTTGTCAGCATGACCTAAACCAGCTCTTGCTTGTGCCGTCTATCCTTTTCCCTCCTTTCTTTTCTAGAACTTGCCACTTCTACCATCCTATCTCTCTCTTTCAATCTTATACACTATCTTCTTTGTTAATGCTTATATACATGCCCATATTTGTCCCATTCTCAAAAAATTTGATCATGCCAGCCCCTGAAAATATAGTGTTATATCTCTCCTTCCTTCCACAGACAAGTTTCTGGAAAAAAATTGTCTAGACTCATTGCCTCAATTTTCTTACCTCCCACTTACTTGGTTCTTAGGGGTTCAGCTATCACTTGTACACAGCTAACTCTCAGATCTATATATCCAGCCCTTCTCTCTCTCTCTCTCTCTCTCTCTCTCTCTCTCTCTCTCTCTCTCTCTCTCTCTCTCTCTCTCTCTCTCTCTTCTGTACTGCCTCACTCACTGCTTATTGGATTTTTCCAAATGGATAGCCTTTAAGTACCTCACACTCAACTTGTCTAAAATCAAGCTTGTTAATCTGGCCCCAAACTCTCTCTTTTTCCAAATGTTCCATATTTCTGTTAGGGCACTATGATCCTTCCAGTCACTCAGATTCACATACTAGATTTCATCCTTTACTCTATCTCTCACCCCACATATCCAATCAGTTGCAAAGTGATTTAAATTCTACCTCCTTTCTCTCTTCCATACACCTTTTTCTGTTCACATGTCCAATTACTGTAGTTCGGGTCCACATCTTGCCTAAATTTTGGCAATGGTCTCCTAATTTGCCTCACAGTCTCTTTGCTTTCTAATCCATCTTCCACAATCCATTATTTTAATATTCTAAAAGTACACACCTGCTTAAACTCCAGCATCTCCTTCTTGCCTCTAGGATAATATATAGCCTTCCTTTGGCATTTCAAGCCCATCTCAACTGGCTCCAGTCTTTTCTTCCAGGATTATAACACTTTACTTGTCTTTCACAATTCACCTTCCACGCAAGCAGACCTATTTGAAGTTCCTCATATACAACATGCTATCTCTCATATCCATGGCTTTGCATAACCTGATGACACACTATGCCTAGAATTCTGTTCTTATGTCTGCCTCTTAGAATATAACCTTTAAGATTTAGCTCAAATTCCATACTCTACAAGAGGTCTTTCCTGATTTCTCTAGTTAGTGCTTCCCCTGACCCAAAATGACTTAGCATTCATACTTATTTTGTATATTTCTCTTTATATATGTTGCTTTCTCTAAATAGAATGTAAGCTCTTTGATGCCTGGGGACTGTTCCATTTTTTCTTTGTATCCTGGCATACAAGTGCTAAATTGATTTTTATGCAATTTAATTGAATGGATAAGGATGGTCTGGTGGCAAGAATGGTGGATTTGGAGTCTGAGAGCCTGGGTTCAAATTCCAGCTCTGTCACTTACTACATACTGGACATACTACATACACGTCATCTCTTTGGGCCTCAGTTTCCCCATCTATAAAAGGAGGGTGTTAGACTAGTTATCCTCCAAAGTTCCTTTCGACTCTAAATTCATGGTCCCATGATCTGTAAAATGAGGGTTTATCTCTCAATCTATGACTCCATATCTGCCTGCTAGTGCCCATGCAAATAAATGGGCAGTATACACGTGTCTGTATACTATCCAAGGGAACATGTGTTTGAACAGTTGAGCATTGAGTAGGTGTGTATATCGTGCATGTGAGTTCACTCCTGCCTGTAGTGTTCATGTGAGCTGCATTTGCATGACATATGCTTGTGATCGCCTGTGTGTGTGTGTGTGTGTACCTGTCTTTCCTATCTTTACTCCAGTTTTCTGAGTAGTATTTTTAGAGGAACGGCTGGCCAGAGGATCCATAGGCTTGGGGCTCCCTCTGCTGACCATGTCTAAGAATACAGGCAGCAGGTAATTATCCTTGCTCCATCATTCTACTGGGGATGCTAAAGAACAGCCCCTCTGGTGGCTGGTCCTGGAGGCCAGTGTGCCAACGTACCCACCTTGGCAGCACTGGGAGAGAATCCTAACCTGAACCAATGAGATTTAGCCTTCTTCAGTGAGGTGTCTGGGTCCTGGATGTAGAATACTCACCAGAGTGTTTGGCAGAGAAGTTTCCTACTTATTTCTGTCCAGCTGGAAATACACACACACACACACACACACACACACACACACACACACACACACTCTCTCTCTCTCTCTCTCTCCAAAAAACCTGACATTCCACACACTTGTAAAAAGCTTTGTATTTTTTACAGACATTAATATCATTTTCTCCTCAGAATAGCTCTGTGAAGTAGACAGGTTATGCATTATTGTCCCAATTTTATAGATAGAGAAACTGAGGGTCATTTTCCTTAGTCACATAATTTAGTAGCAGAGCTGAAACTGGAGTCCAACTCAGCTGACTCCTAATATTTTTGCTTTAGCACATGACCTTCCCTGAACTTTGATTCCAGCTCTACTACAAATTTACTGTGTGGCTTTGGGAACCAATCACTCCCTCTCTTCTTTAGAATGAGGATTCGAATACCTGTTGCCATGCCCACCTCACAGTGGATCTCCAAGGATGCCATGGAAGTCCAAGAAACTAATGGATTTAAGAGCATCTTATATTACAAAGAAGAAGAATTATTAAAGAAGGGCTGGGGAATACAGGGTGGGAGATATCCTCACTCCAATGTGGCCTCTCTCCTTAGGTTGGTGAGTGCAGATGGTTCAATCCTTAAAGTACGGGAGGAAAAGTCTGTCAGGTACCAGCGAGCTTTCATGGGCTGTGAGATGGTGGACTGGCTCACTCAGGAGGGAGAGGCAGCCAGCAGGAAGGAGGCTGTGGAGCTGTGTCGGACCCTCCTGGAACACGGGATCATTCAACATGGTGAGGGGGAGAAAAGGATAAAGGACAAGGAGATTGGTATGGAGGGGCAGTTTGGGGGGACTTAATAAAGTCAGGGAAGTGTAGCTTCCTTGCTCTAAACCTCACTCTGCTTCTCCTATAATGTGGGATGGCTCCTATAGTTTAAAAGAGTTGCAATTAATATCCTTAAGGAATGCAACACTAATGGTGGAATTTCAGACACCAGAAAACAATGAATCCTTTAATAAGTCTTTACTGCTGGCTCCTGTAGGGCCAATTCTATCCTCTGCTATACTGTTGTGGAAACAGACAAAGGAGAAGCCCAAGCCTTGCCGTCAGATAGCTCCCTCTAGCTGGGGAGACCAAGCTTTTACACATGGAACAAGATGAATCAAGAGAGTTTGTGATCCAGGGTTCGTTGTGTGAGAAAACAGTGATCAGAATTGTAGGAGTCCAGAGAAGGGGAATGTCAATGAGGGCATGAAGTAGCATTCTGGGTCAAATATGGGATGATAAATATAAAGATGAAATGAACTTTTGAGGCCATTGAATCCCACTCCCTCATTTTATATGAGGTAGCTGAGGCAGATAGAGGTTAAGTGACTTGCCCAAGGCCTCATAGCTAGTAAGTATCTGAGGTGGAGTTTAAACATAGGCCTTCCTGACTCCAACTGCAGCACCCAGAGGAAGGGCTCCTTCACAAGGGAGCAGAGCTGATTGGTTGTTGGAGAGATGTTTTGGGAGCAGGAGACCTTCCAGTACTCATGTCATAAGTGGCCACAGAAGAGGCTTAGCCTGGAAGGGAAAGAGAAAGAGGCAATAGGGCGGTGAGGCAGGGACCTTCTCCAGCCTTTGTGACCTCCCCTCTCTCTCTGCCCAGTCTCTACCAAGCACCACTTCTTTGACAGCAATCTCCTTTACCAGTTCCGGATCAACTTCCGTAGGCGGCGGCGGCTGACAGAGCTTCTGACTGACAACATCCGAGCTGTCCCTGAGAGTCCTGATAGTCCCTTCTGTCTTCGAAAGCTCAACCCTGACCAGGGCAATACCAGCTTCCTTTCAGGTAACTGGGCAGGGTGTCCAGTCCCTCAGGGGAGGGATGATACTTGGCACCTTGGTACCAGTTCTCAGTTCTCCACAAAATGGCCTTATCTTTTTGCTCTCTAGCTGAGTATCAGACTTCTGAAAATAGGGCCATGCCACAAATGTCTCAGAGACAGGCAGAGAAGTAATGCTTTTATATACATACATACACACACACATACATATATGTATATATATATACACATATATGTATATATGTATACATATATGTTTGAACATGAGTACTGTACATATTGTATGTAAGCCAATGGAGTTATAGATTATCTATGATTCTGTCATTTATTCAATGTGAAAATACCCAGAAATGCTCTAACCCAAACCCCTGCTGCCAGGTGTAGCTATCTCATCCAGAGAAAGTTTTGGACCAGTCTATCCATCAGGGTACACATCTCAGTGAAAAATGGGATCTAGACTGTGCCCTGGTGGGAGCAGGCAGGCCTCTCTGAGGTTAGTTGCTTTCTTCTAACATCCTCTCAAACCATGCCTTATTTTTTTTTCTTCCAGTTCAGCCTAACAAGGAAATCAAAGTGGTCTCAGCTGTTAGGAGAAGCAGTGTCACCAGCCTAGCAGGGGGAGCTGGCCCCTACTATAACAGTCCCCCTCTTCTGGGGCTCCCACCAGGCTCTGAGTGCAACCCTAAGTCAGGTAAGGCTCCCCATCCATCTCTTGGTCTACATCACTCAACAATTCAGTGGTGTGGTGTAGGAGAAAGAGCCCTGAAGTCCACGTCAGAAGATTGAGGTCTATTTCTTTGTCTGTCACCCACTTGCTGTGTGATCGTGGACAAGTTGAACACAAACTGCATCAGCTGACCTTATCTCTGTGGCTCTTTTAAGGGGGATCTAAGTACCACCCACCAACAATTTAGTTCTTCAAAGCACCATTAGGTGGCATGACTAGAGGCGCAGAGTTCCAGGCTTGGAGCTGAGAACTATTGTCTATATCCTGGTGGTATCAGATGCTATAAGTGGGGTGAGGCAGATATGATTTTGGCTAACCCACGCAGTCACACAGACACAGTCATAAATAGATAAACAAACACTAATATCACAAACTCCCAAATGTAGACATATATACATACACATGCAATATTACATGTGCTCATACGAATGTCCAGTTACAGACCATTCTATATAGAATGCCCTGTTGTCAGGGACTATGTTTTATCTTTCTCAGTATCACCCAGAGGAACCTGGCATGTATTGGTCATGAGTGAATGAATGAATGACACATTGCTAGTGCCAAAATTGGAGATTCTGTGTTATAGGCAAGGCTTTGCCAAAACTTGTGGCTCTTTTTCTTAGAATGCAAATCTCTGGGTCTTTGGGCCAGGATTCCCCTCCCCAGGTCTTCATGGGTACCTGGCTGTGATAGGTTGAGTGTCTATTTGTCTATCCCAAAGACAGGCCACCTTCTTAGTAAGGTAAGGGAATGTTTCCCCTACCTGAGATAAAAGTTGAAGAAAAATTAAAAGTCATGACCAGGGTTGGTGAGCTTCACTGGGACAAAAGGGTGAGGTCATTCCTTATTACTTTCTTTTTTTGCCTTATTACTTTCTATGGGCCTTCTTGAACTCTAATTAAATGACCCCTTCTTCTACATCAGTGCTGAAGAGACAGGTAACCAGTGAGGAGCTATTGTCCCCAGGAGCCCCCTATGTGAAGAAGACTCTAACAGTAAGTGGACAGTTGTAAATAGAAATCCTGGCACCTAGAGAAGATTTGATTGGGAAGGCTGAGTTGCAGAGGATAATCTAACTATGGATGCAGTCATGCTGGGAGAGGGGTGGTCTGTCTGGGAGGAAATCTGGCCCATACCTTAGTGGTTACTGGGGATAAAGGTAAGTCCTAGGGCAGGCGAACAATGGAAAGGGAACTCTAGAGGTGGAGCAGTCATGCATGCTATAGATGGGTTGGTGTACAGAGTGAAAGAAGTCATTGTAGGGAAGGATCTTTTTGGGAGGAATAACAACCCCTTCCCAAATCATTACCCCCATCAGCTGCCAGTGTTGATGCCCTGGCTCAAAAACTACATTTCCCAATGTTAGATTTGAGTATGTGTCCTTGAAGCCCTGAAGGGCAGGAAGTTGAGGGAGAGTCTAGAATGACTCTTTGTGAAACCATTCTGCTGTACCTGCCCTCTCTCCTCCCTTTCCCTTCTCTACCTGCACTACTATCCTTATCTTTTTTAAAACTTCCCCTCACTTTATTGTAGGCAAGTAGGAAGCTGAACAATGTAACGGAAAGAACATTGAGTCAGGAAGGAAAACTGGGCTCCAGTCTCAACCATCCACTATGTGACCTTGAGGAAGTCATTTCCCTTTCTCTAGAACTCAAGTTTCTTCATCTGTAATATGAAAAAGTTGGATTTGATGATTGATCTCTGAGCTCAATTTCAGCTCTGAAATTTTGGCAGCTCTATAACTTAGGTCAGTTTGACTGAACAAATTGTTAACTCCCCCTGTGTTGATGTCAACTTTGGGAGGGCTGTAGCCAGTGGCTTCAAGGGCATATTGCATGGTAGATCAGGTGCTGGAGCTGGAGTTAGCAGTCCTGAATTTAAATTCTACTTTTGAAACCTATTAGCTGTAGGACAATGGATAGGTCACATAGCCTATCCGAACCTCAGTTTCCTCATCCATAGAAGGGTAATAAATAGCTTCTGTTACTTCCTTCAAAGAGGTGTTGTAAAGAAATTGATATGCAAATATGAATTTTAATATTACTTGTCTTTAGCTCTGTGCTGGTCATGATTTTTATCTGTTACTTGGATGAAGGCATCGATGGTATGTTTGTCAAAGTATTTGAAGATGTGAAGCTTGTAGAGATGGCTAACAAAAGACTTTGATAGGCTAGAAAGAGGAACAGAGTGAAATAAGATGAAATTTGATAGGGATGAATATAAGCTTCCACCTTTGGGTTCAAAAAATAAACTTCACAAATTTAGGATGAGAAAGGCATGGCTTTGCAATAGTTGTTTTTTTTTCAAAGATCTTTGAAAAATATCTGAGGGTTTTAGTGGAGCAAGCTCAGTATAAGTCAATAGTACAACATGGCAGCCAAAAAGCCAATGCTATTTTAGGCTATATTAAGAGAATGATCATATCCAAAAAAGAGAGAGAATAGTTCTGATATTCTTTGCCCTGGTCACCCATATTTAGAGTACTGTATTCAATTCTGGGTGCCATTTTTTAGGAAGGACATAAATAACTTAGAAAGTGTCCAGAAGAGGGTGATCAGGATAATGAAGGACTGGAAAACAGACCATACAAGGATCAGCTGAAGGAAGGAATCAAGGATGTTTGGCTAGGAGAAAAGACCTAGAGAAGACACGGCCATCATCTTCAATTATTTGAAGGGCTCTCAGGTAGAAGGAATAGGCTTGTTTTGTGTGGCCCCATAGGACAGAGCCAGGAGTATTAGGTGGGAGTTGCAAGCAGGCAGATGTAGGCTTGATGTTAAGTAAAACCATATTTATAGAAAAATGTATTTAAGTAAAAACTTCCTATTAGAGCTGTTCTAAAATGGAAAAGTAGCGACTTCACCCTCATTGGAGGTCTTTAAGCAGGGGCTGGATCACAACCTGCTGGAGATGTTTTAGGGAGGATTTTTAATCAGGTATAGTCTTGGAGATCACTTTTGGTCCTTAGATTCCATAATTCTTTGTGCCAAACCTCAGGCTAAGCACTGCAGGGCAGAAAGAAAGAAGAGAGGTAGCCCTGCCCTCAGGGAGCTGGCAGACTAGTTGAAAAGGGACAAGATCCATGATCCAGGAGGGGAGTATTGACCTTTCCTTTCCCTACCTTTCTCCTCCTTCCTCTTGGTTCCACTTCATCTTTCCCGTCTTGCTTTCCTCTTTGTCTTTTGGGTAATGGGGCCTAACAGCTTGACACTTTGAGCTGGCACAGGAACTTTGAGGCTGGTAGTCCCCTAACATTGTATCATAGTCACAGAACCAAAAATTTAGACCTGGAAGAGGCCATTAGAGGCCATCTTGTTCAACCTTTTCATTTTACAGATGAAGAAATAGGCCTAAGGAGGTAAAATGACTTGCCTGAGATCCATCTGACAAGACAGTAAATGTCAGAGTCAAGATTTGAAGCCAGGTCCTTTGATCCCAAATCCAACCCTCTTTCACTTTACCACTTTACCACAATAATCTTTTGCCTTCTCCTTCCAGATTGTAGGGGATGCTGTGGGTTGGGGGTTTGTAGTCCGAGGAGGAAGACCCTGTCACATCCAGGCTGTGGATCCTGGAGGCCCAGCTGCTGCTGCAGGCATGAAGGTACATCAAGAATGGGTCCTTGGGGAGACTTGAGCTCTTTCCCATGCATTTATTTTCCTGTAATCTTGTCCCATGGCCCTTGAGAGGTTGAGCTGAGGGATGGGTGCTGTGATCTTGGGATTGTACTTGTGTGCAGTTTACTGTCCCTTATCAAAGCCATTCATGACAGTAATTGAGTCAAACACTGACACAGGCTAGAGTCCTGCAAGGAAAAGCTAGGAGTCGTGGAGTGCTTTTCTATACTTCTTTTCCATTTTCCTCTCTTTTTCCATTCCTCTTTTCCCTTCCTTTCTCCTCTCTTCCCTTTTATTCTTTCCCTGTCCCCTTCCCTTCCCTTTTCTTCCATATCTCTTTCCTTCCCCTTCCATCATATCCCTTCCTCTCTCTTCTCTTCCCTTCTCTCATCCCTATTTTTTTCTCCACTCCTCTCTTCAGAGTTAAGAGGAAAAAAGGAAAACAAAGCAGAGAGAGAGAGAATGCTTGAAAGTACAACACGGTCAACCAGATGCAACAAGGCAAGTTGCCTTTGGACCAACTGACTACTGGTTCGATATAAAGAGAAAAAAAAGATTTGATTAAAAATACCTTAAAACATTGGCTTCTTGGAATTAGGTGGAAGTAAGATGGAATCCCACCTTTTCCATTGCCAACTGGGCCCACTCCTGGTAAGTCAGGCCCAAGTGTCTACCACATGAAAGGCAGCATTTCATAGTGGAAAGGACACAGAGACTAGAAATCAGAACACCAGGATCTTTGTTGTGGGTCTATGACCTAAAGCCTTTCCTCCTTTAAGAGCAGGTATATCCTATTAACCCTTGACCCTTGGAAAGGCTCCACAAGGCAGGGTCATCTGAAGTCTTTCCCAAGATTCTGCTGAGCACATGGCTCAAGATCCTGTAGGGGAGAATGAGCTTTCTGGGAGAGGAGGTATATAGATCTCCTGTCTCAGTGCAGTAGATCTGAGCTGAGAGACTGCCTGATAGGAAAGGAGGCACCCATCTAGTAAAGAAGTATAAATGAGATGATTTTGGAGCCAAGAACCTCATCGCATCACATTTAAACCAAATAAACAGACATAACCCCTTCCCCCTGTAGACCTGGTCTGGCCTTAGCAAATACTCCAGGGATGCAAACCAGAAGAGCCAGATGGCTTTGACACACAGACCTGGCTGTTTCAAGAAGATATGGCCCATTTTCCCCCACTTCATTGTGCCCAAGGTCCTCTTTCTCTCCAATCCAGGTATGCCAGTTTGTGATCTCAGTGAATGGCATTTTGGTGCTACATCTGGACTACCAGACGGTCAGCAACCTCATTGTGACAGGGCCACGGACACTGATTATGGAGATTATGGAAGACATAGAGTGAAGGAAGCCTGAGGGCCTCCTTTGTCAACCTTCCCCTGGCCCCTCCCCAGTGCCTGACTCCCCTTGCCAATCAGGATGAACCATAAACAGGTTGTCAAAAACCCCAGACTAAAATGTATTCAGGGTAGGAGACATAACTAGAGAGAAACTCCAAAGCCCTGGGAATGACGAAGTTGCCCCTTATATAAACATTTATTGAGTACTTACTATGTGCAAAGCGCTCTGTTTGGCATTGTGGTGGATACAGAGATGGGTAAAACATGCTCCTGCCCTCAAAGAGTTTGCAATCCAGTAAGGAGGATATTGTGTATGTGTGTATGCATGCATGTATGTGTGAATACACATACATATAAATATCACACACACATATATGGGGGTATATATATATATATTATATATAGTATATGTGTGTATGAATAGATACAGTAGAAGGCAGGATATGATTAAAGACCATAAGAGAGATTCAAATAAACAGTTTGAAGAAGTCAGAGAAGAGGAAGATCACTTCTGTTTAAAGAGATTGACCCTGGATGCGTCATAGACAAGGTAGCCTTTTTACCAGGAACTTTCCGAATTGATCCAGAGCTGCCTTTTGCCTGTGGTGAGGAGGGTGACCAGAGATGGACTAGATACGGCACAAACCTTCTTTCAACTTAATGAAATGTAATGTGGTGTAGTGGAAAGAGCATTGGACTAGACACCTGACCACCAGGGTCCCAGTAGTGACTCAGACCTCCATTAACTTGGCTCTGCAACCTGGGGCTAGGTATTTCCCTCCTCTGAGCTTCAGTTTCCTAGCCTAGAATGGGGATGTTAATTCCCACCCCGCCTCCTCACAGGGCTGTTGTGAGGCTCAGTGAGACACATCTGTAAATGTACCTTGCAGAATTAAAAGGGCTATAAGAAGATGAAGCCCACACTGCTGAAGCAAGAGTGAACTGAGGGATGGAAAGAGTCTGAAGCATGAAGGGAGGGACTGCCCCTGCCCCAGCCCCTGGAGGTGACTGCCCCACTTTCCGAAGACACAGTCAAAGACAGACCTTGGGCCCTTTTACCATCTGGCCATGACTTTAGTCTAGCACACCACCTTTTGCTGTCATACCATAGGAAGCAGAGCCTGGGTCTGAAGACAGAGGGCGAGAAGTCATGGTCTCCTGTGTCTTTCAACCCTCAGAGCTTGTGTCTAGGACTTCATGACACATATTGGAAAAAGCTCTCATGGCATGGCATCTTCTTGTCATTCTTTAGTGGCCTCCGTACTTTGGGCCTGTGTCAACAGCTCCAGCAGACCCAGAGCATTCTGTAGGCATGTTTCTCACATCTTACACAAGCATAACCAAATGAGAAACTAGGGAAAGCTATGGGGGGGGGGAAGCAGGTAGGAGGTGTAGTGGGTAGAGCACTGGCTCTAGAGTCAGGAGGACCTGAGTTCAAATCTGGCCTCAGACACGTAATACTCACTAGCTGTGTGATCCTGGGCAAGTCACTTAACCCCATTGCCTAACCAAAAAAAAAAAAAGCTATAGGGAAAATAAGATTTTTTTTTCCATAATGATAGAACCAGACCAAGGGAGGCTCTGTGCCAGCAGGAGAAGTGCTCTAACCAAGACATGACCAGAGTTTAAGAGTCTAGGTCAAACCAATCCCTCAGAAAGTATTATTTTCCCTAATGTTGCTATTGACACTTTTTTTTCCTTGCTTCTTACATTGGGATCATTTTCTTATATACCCCACCTCTCACTAAACTGAATCCTTCCTTGTCATAAAGGAAATCAGTTAAGCAAAGCCAACCTGTACAACAGCTGTGTCTGTTAGTGTAGGCCACATTCCTTGCCAGTAGTCCCCCACCTCTCTTCTAAAAGAAGGTTTCATGTTACATCCTCTGTTCTCCAACAGATTGTTCATTAAAATCAGTCTAAGTTCAGTAGTCTTTGAGTGTCGTTTTCATTTGCACTATAGTAGTCACCTATGGTAGTGTTTGTTGTTCTAGTAGTGTTGCTCCCTTCATTCTGCATCTCTTCATCCTAGTTTGCCCATGTTTTCTTGAATTATATTCATTTATTCATTCCCTTTCTTCCTTTTTCTTTTTCTTTACCTTTTTCTTTTTTCTCTTTCTCTTTTTTCCTTTCTTTCTTCCTTTTTTCTTTCCCTCTTTTTTCTTTCTTTCCCTTTTTTCCTTCCTTCCTTCCTTCCTTCCTTCCTTCCTTCCTTCCTTCCTTCCTTCCTTCCTTCCTTCCTTCCTTCCTTCCTTCTTCCCCTTTCCTCTCCTCCACTTTCCTCCTTTCCTTCTCCTTTTTTTTTTCTTTATTTACCCAACCTTCTTACTTCTTCAGTATAGGAAGCTCCTAATAAGAAAACTCTTCCCATGCTGATCAGCACCTGTTTTGCAGTCCTAGAGAGTTGCCTGGGGGTGGGTGCTGGCAAGTTAACTAACTTGCTCAGGGCCACCACAGCCACTATGTGTCAGAGGAAGGACTTGAATTCAGATCTTCCTGACACCAGGGCCCGCTCATTGGGTGCTACCCCACGGTAGAATAATATTCTACTGCATTCATACACCATAGTCATTAAACAATTGATAGTCACTTGTGTTGTTTGGAACTTTTTTTGGTTACCACAGCATAAAGTTATGAATATTTAATGATATATGGCATCTTTTTATTTCCTTATCATTAACCTTTGTTTTATAAAAGTATGTGTGTGTGTGTATGTGTGTGTATGTGTGTGTACACATATGTATGTATTTTGTTTGGAACTTTTTTTGGTTACCACAGCATAAAGTTATGAATATTTAATGATATATGGCATCTTTTTATTTCCTTATCATTAACCTTTGTTTTATAAAAGTATGTGTGTGTGTGTATGTGTGTGTATGTGTGTGTACACATATGTATGTATTAGTCCAGTTGTAGGATGACTGAATCAAAAGGGTATGAACAGTTGAGTAACTTTAGATGGTGTTTTCTTCTGTATGTGTTGGGTGGGGGTGGGAGGCATGATCAGCAGTAAAGCAGTAAAGTGAGAGCACTTTTCCTGCCCCCTCTCTCCCCTACACTCCTAACTTCATGTTTCTCAGAATAGAAAGTTCTGATTCCACTTTTCTCCTTCCACATCCAATTTCCTGCTCCTAAAATTTTGACTCTACTTATTGTAATGATAGTGGGAGGAACACTGGCCTGGAAACCAGGAGATCTGAGAGTCCCAACTCTCAGCTGTGCCACTTACTAGCTATTGAACCTTGAATACATGACCTGAGTCTTGGTATTTTCATCTGTAAGATGGGGATAATATCTGCTATCCACCTTCACAAGGCTGGTAGCAGGATAGCAGTTGTGAGATAATGGATGTGAACCTACTAACCACAATGGACATTCCTGGAGTCCTTGATAAAGCACTTTCTTTAGGAGCCTTTACAGTATGTAGGTACTACAAGTATCATCCTTATTTTATAAATGAGTAAAGAGACTCAGAAAGGTTAAATGACTTTCTGAACTTCTCAAGAAGAGTCAGAACTGGGACTCAAACACAGATCTTCTGACTTGAGACCAATGTGCTTTCCATCATAACACTGCCTCTATGCAAATATAAGGTGGTGTTATTATTATCAAGGAAGCTAGGTGGTACAGTGGACAGAG